CATCACTAGCCCTGAAGCTGCTGGTAGACATCGCGGTTGGAATTATCAAAGGTTTTTGACACCTGAGAGACACCGTAGCAACTACTTTGCATTTAGAAGCGGGGGGTGGGGGTGGGGGGAGGACCAGGGAGGATGATTCAACCACTCAACCACTAGATGTCGCTGAAAACAACAAATCATACACACTGTGCCTTTAAGAGGTTCAGTACCAACCAGGTGTGTGCAGGGTGAGTGTTGACACAATGCCAAGGCAGAAAGACATCAGCAATGACCTTAGACAACATGCTGCTCCTGTCAATCAATCTGAGAACGGACCAAAGGTCGTTTTTGACAATTTAGAGTTCATCGCGTTACAGAAAAAGACCATTGACAAGCGGAAAACATTTAAAACAGCTGCTAATTGTCCCAACAGATTCACCCCAAGATCAGACCATGCAAAGCTCAGAGAAACCGCTGAAAAACCCAAATGCTCCATCAGACTACAGGCCTCGGTTAGCAGGTTAGAAGTTAACGACTGAACCTCTATAGCTTGTTTGGAGAGAACACAGCAACTAGGTTAGATCTATGAAGTTGTATCAAGGTGTGTCTAAAACATCTAAAACCACGTCCTTTGGACAGATGAGACCAAAGCATGTTTACCCATAATGCACAGCACCATGGTTGGAKAAAACTGAACAGATCAGCACAAACTCCTCATACTAATGCTCCTTTTTCCATTAGTGCCTCTACAGAACGGTTCGACTTGACTCTCCATCATTCCAAGGCTTTTTCTCCAGCAAGGATTCGTGTAACCAGCCCCTTCTTCAGAACTTACTTCTCTGTGGTTCCAAGTGTACCGTGCTGGACTGAAAACACATCAGGAGACTGTCGGTCTCTGATTGGTTAGGGGGTGGAGTCACTGGTTGAGTCACAAGAGCTGCTCTCACAACAACCCGATCAGCCATTTACAACAAAAATGTCCTCCATGTCCTCCATTGTTATGTTGTGTATGTTTTCAGGGTCTTCTTCTACTATGTTTAATGGTGGCTTAATGGAGCATAAGTGCCACCAGCTGTTAAGATGTGTGGCATCAATTTTCGGACACTGGGACCGCCCCACTTTACGCTGAACCCACCCACTAGAGCAGTTACAGAAGTGTAATGGAAAACCACCCAAACCGTGCTGTAGAAGTGGAAAAGGGCCAGACGTGTCAAGCACGGTGGAAGGCTGATGGTTTGTTCTGCAGCTACAGGACCTGAACACCTTGGAGTTGACCGTGAACTCCTCTGTAAACCAAAGGATTCTAGAGTTCGATGTGAGACTCTGTCCTGAAGCTGAAGTTTGGACCAAACTTTGTTTTTAAACAGAACATTGGGCCTCATGCAAGAACATGTTCGTATTCTTATGCTAAATTTCTCTTACTTTTGTTCGTACAAAGGGTTCGTACGAACATGTCACGTCAGATTCAACAAACACTTCTATCTTCAGGAAAAGTGTGTAAATGAGCTGCGTAATTTACACCTGTTCTATCCAGCTGCT